ATAAAGCTTCGTCAACCAACGGGGAAAGTTTTAACTCTCATGGGAAGGATGCAAATTCATTCAATATCTGGTACAATTTTTCCGCCCCCATCATCAAGGGTTGCTGGAGGATTGACAGTTTACTTATCAGGACCAAAGGGACATATGATTGGGGGGAGCGTGATGTCCCCTATGGTGGCGTCAAGTTCAATAACTTTGATGGCTTTTTCTTTTGCAAACATCGCATATGAAAAAATTTCTTCGGTGGCATAATAGTTTTTAATTAATTACTTAAACTTCTAGAAGTTTGCTTTAATAAATAGATTGATTGCTTAAACTTGCATGCCTGTGTAGCATGCTCTGGATTCTCAAAGCCTTCAGGATTTATAATTTCACATCCTCAAAGAGATTTCAGTTAAGACCAATGGTTTTCACATCCATTTTCTATATTTGATAATCATGGTATGTATTGATGGCAAGTAAATTGTGTATAGTTTGTAGCGAGTAAAAAGGTTTCGTCATAGTTTATGCGATAATTTTTTTGAAACCATTAACAACCAACCATGCCTTATCGATATGTTCCTTACAATCCATGTATGTCTTAGTTTTAAAAATTCACTTGCACCTCGTGAGATTAACCCATTCAGGTGGCTCCATAAAAGTCCATACTTAGTCTATAAGGAATCCATTTCAGATTTCATGGCCTCTAGCAACTTCTCAGATGTCTGGCCCAATAATCATCTCTTGATAAGTAGAATACCCATATTTGTCCATGATTAATCACTACTACAAAATATATATTTGGTAACACTATATCACTACAACCTTTTAAACAACCGTAGTAATAAATTATTTTTGCTCTCCCGAATTATTAATTATTTTATTATAAGACATTTCTTCACAATCCTTAATAACAACTGTTGTGATAGATGAAAAGTTACTTGTTTCGATTCCCAGCATCAACAATTTTTATTTTTTATTACAAAAAGGGTTTGTCCTTATAGTCATATAAATATATTAATTTAAAAATACTTATTACCACAGTTATTACCAGAAAGTATTGTGAATAATACTTAATTTTTATCACGAGTTTTGTTAACAACTATGGTGATAAATTATATATATATATATATATATATATATATATATATATATATATATATATATATATATATACACACACACACACACACGCCTATATATGAAGAAAACTTTGAGTTTTGAAGAGGTTTCTAGAGGAAGGCCTTATGTGAAGAAAAACAATGAAACAAGTGTGAGATGTTGGAAATATGGAAATATTGGACATATATATGGTATCCAGAGCCTTGGTTTGGTGGGTATAAATTTTAGTATGCTATATGGTTGCCATTTTGTCTGATCTTCCACATCAGAAAATAAATTATATACTCTATGTTGGTTGGAAAAATTTAGTTGATTTCAGGAAAGATTTTGGTTGCAACGTCAAGTTTTTTAAGTGCGATGAAGATTTACTTAGAGAAATTTGATGGAAGAATCAATTTTGGCTTGTGGAAAATTCAAGTCTAAGATGTTTTGATACTATTAGGATTACACAAGGTGTTGAAAGGAAACATTTCCAAAATGGACAACGAGAAGTGGGAGGAACTTGATTTGAGAGCTTCCAGTACAATCTGCATGTCTTTGGCTATGAATCTTCTTGCGAATGTTATTGGTACGTCACCATCCTAAGAGATTTGGGAGAAACTTGAAGGGCTATATCAAGGAAATGGTATATAAAATTGTTTATTATTGAAGGAGAAGTTTCATAGCTTGCATATGTATGAACATACAAAAGTATCTGATCATCTAAGTGTTCTAAATAGTATTATTTCTGAATTAGAAACTATTGGAGTCAAGATTGATGATGAAGATAAACCTTTGAGACTCATTTGTTCTCTTCCATATTTCTATGAGCATATTAAACCGGTTTTGATATATAAGAAGAAAACTTTGAGTTTTGAAGAAGTTCTTAGTAAATTTATTTCTGAAGAAAGAAGATTGAAAGGTGAGGCAAATACTTCATCAAACTCAGTGTTGGTTGCTAGAGGAAGTCCTTATGTAAAGAAAAATAATGAAACGAGTGTGAGATGTTGGAAATATGGAAATATTGGACATATACAGTATAAGTGTCATGATGGAGCAGCGCCACAGAAGGGCTTTGATTCAAATATTAGCAATATCTCTCTCGCTGTGAGAGAGGATGATCTTATCTGAAAATTAAGAAGTGTGTCCTCGTGACATTTCAGCTGTCATGGAAAAGGACATGTTATTGCTAGAGGATTAACACATGGGCATTGATGCAAAGTATGTTGTGAGATAATGACGATGGTGGGAGACCTTCCTACCAACACATAAACTGCACCATAAAATTTCAACTTGGTTTTCGACATGTGAAAATTCTTGAAGTTTTTTAGCTTCAAGTGAAGTATACTCTTCTTTATGTGGAGTATGATAGTTTTTAAAACTATGATTGTCGATTAAGACAATGTAAAAATTCTTGGAGTGGCGTAGTTTCAAGTGACAATAATCATTATGGTGGAGTATGATTGTCGGTGAAGACAATGAAAGCTTATGTATTCTTTTCAATCAAGGTGGATATTGTTGAGGTTGATTGAAAATTTACATGTTGAAGAAGTCCCACATCGCTTATTTTTGTAAAAGAAGAGGGAGTCCAAGACTATATATAGAATTAACGTTTTTCTAAGTCCCACATAGCTTAGTTTAGTGAATGAAGAGGGAGTTCAAGGCTATATATAGGATTCAAGTTTTTCTTTACAAGATGTACCAGTCAAAAACACTTTAAGCTTGTATTTGACTATTTTTTTCTCTTATACTATTGTTTTAGAGTTTTGTGAGAGGTAGTTAAATATTTGCTTTGGAGAGTGTAGGTGTATTGGGGCCTTGGGGTGTTTGAGTGTAGTCTATGTGTTGTAACAATTTTTACATAGTGATATTCTCTGGTTGTCATTTGACAATGGTCGTGTTTTTTTCTCCAGGTTTGGAGTTTTCTCAATAATTTCTTGTGTTGTTATTTTGTCCCTTTTTTTTCTTCTATGTTTTGTTTTTTCCCAACAACACGCACACACACACACACACACACACCATATTTGTTTTGTTTTTTTTCATTGTGTGTGTGTGTGTGTGTGTGTGTGTGTGTGTGTGTGTGTGTGTGTGTGTGTGTGTGTGTGTGTGTGTGTGTAAGCGAAGTTATCAAGCTTCAGCATAAAACCACCATCCTCACACATACCTCACACCATAAGATGACAACTTTATCCAAACACCAATGGATGATGCAAGAGGTTGAAGACGAAGAGATTTCAGTTGCAAAACTCAAAACAAGATTCAAACTCCCTTTTGAATATTGAGAGAAAATGTGTTTTGTGAGTTTTAATTCATAAAGTGGGTATGTATGTTGTGAGAGGGATTTGAGAAAAATATTTATATATATATATATATATGTTGGAGATCAAGCACAAATATGAGAGAAAATGCCATTTAATCCGAGTCACATACAAGAAGCATGAGTTGAGTCAAGAGAGTGAAGGATTTAAATAAATATCCAAAAACTAAGCAAAACTATTCCCATTACTTGAATCAACCCTTTTTATGATTTGAATCATGTGATTCACATTAACTAGATATTACATTCGAATCAGGAACTTAGAACCAAAATCCAAAATTTACTGTTATATTTTGATTTGAGTTAAGCATGTTTATGATTTGAATCAAACATCTATGATGTGAGTCATGCGTTATTGTGATTTGAATCAAACTCACAGAGGAAAAATCCTATGTTTGAGAAATGTGTTTAAATTGAGTTAGGAAATTCCTGTAATTCGAATCATACTCAAAGAAGAAAATTCCTGATTTTTCCATAAAGATTAATTTGAGTCATGAGATCCTTTGATTCTAGTCACACTTCAATATTTTCAAATTTTTGTCAAATTGAAGTTTTATTTTGTACCAGGACTTGACACGACTCAAATCATTCTCAAATTTTCTTCTTGATTGCCTTTGGCTATTTGACTGGAAGCATATTTCTAAGAATCAAACCTTTTGATTTATGCATGCATAAAACAATTAAGAACTAAACCTTAGAATGTGTAACTATGTGAGGAGACTCGATTACAATGAAATAAGACAAAAACTAAATTGACATGCAACAAAACATAAATGGGTAAACTCCAGGAGGTTGAGAAAACTTTAAGAGGAAGAAATTAATTACACATAAAAAGTACACATTTTCCTCCATAGAGACAGGCTATTCCAACTACAGGAACCTAAGCGACTGCATAGATCCACCTGACGGTTGTTTGCGATCAATACATAACTCCACATTTTCAGTTGCTAACCATTTATCCTATCTAAGAGGGAAATTGTGACATTTTTTTTATTATTCAAATTAATTCTAATTCATACATCAATTTTCATTCTCTTATTGATTTAAGCGTCAGAGTTCTAAACTTGCATGTCAGCCTTTCGCTCCACTGCATCGAAAGCTCTGCCTCTCAGTCTAACGATCAATTCTGGTTCTACTACGAAACACATATGCTAATATTGAACGAAAAAACAAACAAATACTATTCATGATGTTAAATCTTTTGCATATTTTTTGTTTTTGTAATTTTATTAAATAAATTATTAAAATATTAAATTAATCAAATTAATTTAAATATGAAATTAATCAATGCACTGATTTGTTTTTTAAGGGGTGAGTTGTTTTGGTCAAAGAAATTAATTAAATATAATACAGTGATTTAATTATAACGTGAATGAATCTCGTGGAAGGTGTGAGAGAAAGTAACATAACACGTTTTGTCTTTGGTCATCATAATTGATTGGAATGTATTTTTTTTTCATTCCATAATTTCCTCTTAAAAAAATTGAATAATATAATTTTTAGTCTTAAAATAATAATATCAAAATATCAATAAAATAGTATTAAAAGGTTAAGGCTAGGCAAAGCAAGACAGACAAGAAAAGTGAGTGCAAAATAAGGGAGAATGTCTAACCATGACGAAGAGAGAAACCACGAGCTCCATCCATTCACGACACCACAATTGCAATTAAACACATCAAACACTAATACCACCACACAAAACCACCATCCCACACCATCCTCCACCATCGCTCGCCGCCCACGGGGGCGTCCCCCTGGCTCCAAGAACAAGCCTAAAATTCCTGCCATGGTAACACATGACATTCCTAATGCACTAACTTCTCATGCTCTTGAGATCACAACTGGTGCCGATGTTTTAAAGAGTCTCTTTGATTACACTCGTCGTAAAGGGAAGGGTATCTACATCCTTGGTGGAAATGGAGTGGTGAGGTATATAAGGCTACGTCAACCAACGGGGAAAGTTTTAACTCTCAAGGGAAGGATACAAATTCATTCAATATCTGGTATGATTTTCTCGCCCCCAACATCAAGGGCTGCTGGAGGATTGACAGTTTACTTATCAGGACCAAAGGGACATATGATTGGGGGGAGCGTGATGTCCCCTATGGTGGCGTCAAATTCAATAACTTTGATGGCTTTTTCTTTTGCAAACATCACATATGAAAAAATTTCTTCGGTGGCATAATAGTGTTTAATTAATTGCTTAAACTTCTAGAAACTTGCTTTAATAAATAGATTGGTTGCTTAAACTTGCATACCTGTGTAGCATGCTCTTGATACTCAAAGCCTTCAGGATTTATAATTTCAGATCCTCAACGAGATTTCAGTTAAGGACAATGGTTTTTGACATCCATTTTCTATATTTAATAATCATGGTATGTATTTATGGCAAGTAAATTGTGAATAGTTTGTAGCGAGTAAAAAGGTTTTGTCATAGTTTATGCGATAATTGTTTTTTGAAACCATTAACAACCAACCATGCCTTATCGATATGTTCCTTACCATCCATGTATGTATTACTTTTATAAATCCACTTGCAGCTTGTGAGATTAACCCATTCAGGTGGCTCCACAAAAGTCCATACTTAGTCTATAAGGAATCCATTTCAGATTTCATGGCCTCTAGCAACTTTTTAGATGTCTGGCCCAATAATCATCTCTTGATAAGTAGAAGACCCATATTTATCAATGATTAATCACTACTACAATATATATTTGGTAACACTATATTACTACGACCTTTTAAACAACCGTAGTAATAACTTATTTTTGCTCGCCTGAATTATTAATTGTTTTATTATAAGACATTTTATCACAATCTTTAATAACAACTAATGTGATAGATGATAAGTTATTTGTTTCGATTCCCAACATCAACAATTTTTATTTTTTTATTACAAAAAGGGCTTGTCCTTATAGTCATATAAATATATTAATATTAAAATACTTATTACCATAATTATTACCAGAAACTATTATGAATAATACTTAATTTTTATCACGAGTTTTGTTAACAACTATGGTGATAAATTTTACACACACACACACACACCTATATAGGAAGGAAACTTTAAGTTTTGAAGAGGTTGTTAGAGGAAGGCCTTATGTGAATAAAAACAATGAAACAAGCGTGAGATGTTGGAAATATGGAAAGATTGGACATATAAGTCGTACCAAGAGCCTTGGTTTAGTGGGTATAAATTTTAGTATGCTTTGTGGTTGCAGTTTTGTCTGATATTCCACATCAGAAAAGAAATTTTATACTCCATGTTGGTTGGAAAAATTTTAGTTTACTGCAGGAAAGATTTTGGTTGCAACGTCAAGTTTTTCAAGTGCTGTGAAGATTGACTTAGAGAAATTTGATGGAAGAATCAATTTTGGCTTGTGGAAAATTCAAGTCCAAGATGTTTTGATACAATTAGGATTACACAAGGTGTTGAAAGGAAACATTTCCAAAATGGACAACAAGAAATGGGAGGAACTTGATTTGAGAGCTTCCAGTATAATCCGCATGTCTTTGGCTATGAATCTTCTTGCGAATGTTATTGGTATGTCGTCATCCAAAGAAATTTGGGAGAAACTTGAAGGGCTATATCAAGGAAATGGTATATCAAATTATTTATTATTGAAGTAGAAGTTTCATAGCTTGCATATGTGTGAACATACAAAAGTATCTGATCATCTAAGTGTTCTAAATGGTATTGTTTCTAAATTAGAAAATATTGGAGTCAAGAGTTATGATGAATATAAAGCTTTGAGAATCATTTGGTCTCTTCCATCTTCCTATGAGCATATTAAAACGGTTTTGATATATAATAAGAAAACTTTGAGCTTTGAAGAAGTTGCTATTAAAAATATTTCTTAAGAAATAAGATTGAAAGGTGAGGCAAATACTTCATCAAACTCTTTGTTGGTTTCTATAGGAAGTCCTTATATGAAGAAAAACAATGAAACGGGGGTGAGATGTTGGAAATGTGTAAAGATTGGACATATAAAGTGTAAGTTTCCTGATGGAGCAGTGCCACAGAAGGGCTCTGATTCAAATGCTAGCAATGTCTCTCTCGCTGTGAGAGAGGATGATCTTATTTAAAATTGAGAAGTGTGTCCTCATGAAATTTCAGTTGTCATGGAAAAGGACGTGTTATTGCTAGCGGATTAACACATGGGCATTGATGCAAAGTGTGTTGTGAGATAATGTCGGTGGTTGGAGAGCTTCCTACCAACACGGAAGTTGCACCATAAAGTTTCAACCTGGTTTTTGGCATGTGAAAATTCTTGAAGTGTTTTAGCTTCAAGTGATGTATACTCTTCTTTAGGTGGAGTATGATAGTTTTTAAAATTATGATTGTCGGTGAAGACAATGTAAAAATTCTTGGAGTGGCGTAGCTTCAAGTGACTATACTCTTTATGGTGGAGTATGATTGTCGGTGAAGACAATGGAAGCTTATGTATTATTGTCAATCAAGGTGGATATTGTTGGAATTGGTTGAAAATATACATGTTGAATAAGTCCCACATCCCTTATTTTTATAAAGGAAGAGGGATTCCAAGACGATATATAAAATTAATGTTTTTCCAAGCCCCACATAGCCTAGTTTAGTGAGTGAAGAGGGAGTCCAAGGCTATATATAGGATTCAAGTTTATCTTTACAAGATGTATCAGTCAAAAACACTTTAAGCTTGTATTTGACTATTTTTTTTCTCTTATACTCTTGTTTTAGAAAGTTGTGAGAGGTAGTTAAATATTTTCTTTTGAGAGTGTGGGTGTATTGGGGCCTTGGGGTGTTTGAGAGTAGTATATATGTTGTAACAATTTTAACATAGTGATATTCTCTGGTTGTCAACAGTCGTGGTTTTTTTTCCGGTTTTGGAGTTTCCACGTTTATTTCTTGTGTTTTTATTTTGTCCTTATATATATATATATATATATATATATATATATATATATATATATATATATATATATATATATATATATATATATATATATATATATATATATATATATATATATATATATATATATATATATATATATATATATATATATATATATGTGTGTGTGTGTGTGTGTGTGTGTGTGTGTGTGTGTGTGTGTGTGTGTGTGTGTGTGTGTGTGTGTGTGTGTGTGAAGCGGAGTTATCAAGCTTTAGCACATAATAATCATCACTCTCAAAATAAAACCATAACATCTATCTCTTGTACATGCATCAAACTTATCCTCATAAGCTTCTTCATACTAAAAGGTAATCAAGTTCATACACTTTATCTTTTGTTCTTATTCTTCGTAAGCTTTCTTCCATGTTATTCATATGCTTTCTTCCATTTGTTTGTGATTTATAAAGACTTTTCACCTTCGTTATATTTTTTTTCATCCACTTTCTTCTTTATCGTTCCATTTCGTATTACAAAAAGTTTTCACCTTGCATGCTTTTTATTTTTTTTTGTTATCTCAGTTCCATATGGTGTTTTTTGACTCGTAGTGTTCATAAGTAGTTTGTGTTGCTATGGAGAAACAACAAAAGAAGATGTCTTAATTTTCAATTAATCTTTTCAATAAAACATACATTCTAATCCACATTTTATAAGTTGATATGTTAGTGTATGTTGTTCTAGTTTTGTTGATAAATATTGATGAATGTTGTTGTATGTTGTTGTTGTTGATAAATATTTATCAGAACAAAAACAAAACATTGTTAGGTCACAAAGAATGAGTGTGGTTCACAAATGGTTTTTGTTTCTATGGATAAAACATACAAGAAGAATGAAGCTATTGTGGAAGCTTCATCCGCCTTGTATTTTTTTCATATCAACACAAAGTAGATCAACTTCATTTTCCACGAATCTTTTCAATAAAATCTACATCCGTGAAACATTTTATGAGTTGATATGTTGTTGTACATTTTTGTATTTTGTTGACAAGAACAAAACATTGTTAAGTCAAAATAAAAAAAATATTCTTGCAACTTAACAATGTTTTGTTTTTGTGAATCTTGCAGTATTAATTTCTTATGAAGATTGACAGAAGATCCAGTTGAGTTTATTATATCATATGTAGATTTCTTGTTTCACAAACCCTTCACTGAACATGAATTCATTTAAATGGATTTAGAAAATAATAATCTGAAAATTAAGTCATTTTTGAAAATCAACTTAGATCAATAAATGTTTTTCGAGTTGCATGCATGCCGCATTTCATATTCTTCTCTTTAACATGGATATTTTGGTTCAATGGCCTAAGTTATTCATAGCAACATTCCTTATCTTCTAGTTTATCTTCAAAAGAATCAATTTATTGACTAATTCAGACTCATCGTCGTCATTATCAACATCATTATCATTTGATGAGTACTATGATGGTAGTGATGATGATGAATCTGAATTAGTTAACAAATTGATGCTTTTCAAAATAAACTAGAAGAGAAGGAACAATTTCTATGAATAACTTAGGTCATTGAATCGAATTCTCTATGTTAAAGATTGAGAGATCAGTTACGAGATGCATGAAATTCGAAAAATAATGGTTCATTTAAGTTGTTTTTCAAGAATAATTTAATTCTACAGATTATTATCTTCTACATCCATTTGAATGATTGTATATGTTTAGCAAGGTGTACGGAAAAAAAATAATCCACATATTTTATAGTAAAATCATGTATACATACCACAACGATTATCTTTTATAACCATGGTGAAATGTTAATTTTTATTCTAATTGTAAGCATGTCGTTAAAGATAATTGTTGTTATAGGTAGCATGCTTCCTACTTTATCACCATGGTCACACACCCATAGAGAAAAGCAGCATACTTACAATCACATGCTACTTGACAACGAACATACGACTGCTATGATGTGCATTTCACAACCACTATGAATAGTGTTTTTCATAGTAGTGAATACATCACCTTGCTCAACTATGAGATCCATATCTCTTGTGCTAGTGACACATCTTGTTCTACTTACGTTGTTCTCGTGTTACTTAAATAGGTTATTCATACACAACATCTTGTGTAGATTGTTATCATTCCTCTATTGGTGTATTGATACTCTATGATTCTTGAATTTCTTTAAGTTTTACTTTCTTCCCACTAATTCCTTTGGAAACAAATTCCCTTTATAGGAAAACCTAGGTTTGAGCGACAAACACTTTTATCTCAGAAGGGTTGTAAAAGTAGTACATGTGG